GGATGCCTGATTTATTAAAAAGGAACAAAATGTTATCTCAAAAGTGCTAAATACGTTTGTGGAAACTATTTCTTTAATGTTTAAGCAAAAATATACGATATTTTATAAAAAAATTTCATCAGAAAAATTGAAATTTTCCAAAGCCTATAGCCTTACTTTCTTATCAATAATTTAAGGATGCCTGATTAATTAAAAAGGAACAAAAATTTATCTCAAAAGCACTAAATACGTTGGTGGAAACTATTTTTTTAATATTTACGCTAAAATCAATGATATTTTACAAAAAAAATTTACCAGAAAAATTGAAATTTTCCAAAGCCTATAGCCTTACTTTTTTATCAAAAATTTAAGGATGCCTGATTCATTAAAAAGAAACAAAAATTATCTCAAAAGCACTAAATACGTTGGTGGAAACTATTTCTTTAATATTTACTCTAAAATAAATGATATTTTACAAAAAAAATTTGCCAGAAAAATTGAAATTTTCCAAAGCCTATAGCCTTACTTTTTTATCATAAATTTAAGGATGCCTGATTTATTAAAAAGGAACAAAATGTTATCTCAAAAGTGCTAAATACGTTTGTGGAAACTATTTCTTTAATGTTTAAGCTGAAATAAACGATATTTTATAAAAACAATTTACCAGAAAAATTGAAATTTTCCAAAGCCTATAGCCTTACTTTTTTATCAAAAATTTAAGGATGCCTGATTCATTAAAAAGAAACAAAAATTATCTCAAAAGCACTAAATACGTTGGTGGAAACTATTTCTTTAATATTTACTCTAAAATAAATGATATTTTACAAAAAAAATTTGCCAGAAAAATTGAAATTTTTCAAAGCCTTTAGCCTTACTTTTTTATCAAAAATTTAAGGATGCCTGATTCATTAAAAAGGAACCAAATGTTATCTCAAAAGTGCTAAATACGTTTGTGGAAACTATTTCTTTAATGTTTAAGCTGAAATAAACGATATTTTATAAAAACAATTTACCAGAAAAATTGAAATTTTTCAAAGCCTTTAGCCTTACTTTTTTATCAAAAATTTAAGGATGCCTGATTCATTAAAAAGGAACAAAATGTTATCTCAAAAGTGCTAAATACGCTTGTGGAAACTATTTCTTTAATGTTTAAGCTGAAATAAACGATATTTTATAAAAACAATTTACCAGAAAAATTGAAATTTTTCAAAGCCTTTAGCCTTACTTTTTTATCAAAAATTTAAGGATGCCTGATTCATTAAAAAGGAACAAAATGTTATCTCAAAAGTGCTAAATACGTTTGTGGAAACTATTTCTTTAATGTTTAAGCTGAAATAAACGATATTTTATAAAAAAAATTTACCAGAAAAATTGAAATTTTCCAAAGCCTATAGCCTTACTTTTTTATCAAAAATTTAAGGATGCCTGATTCATTAAAAAGGAACAAAAATTTATCTCAAAAGCACAAAATACGTTGGTGGAAACTATTTCTTTAATGTTTAAGCTAAAATAAACGATATTTTACAAAAAAAAATTTCATCAGAAAAATTGAAATTTTCCAAAGCCTATAGCCTTACTTTTTTATCAAAAATTTAAGAATGACTGATTCATTAAAAAGGAACAAAAATTTATCTCAAAAGCACTAAATACGTTCGTGGAAACTATTTCTTTAATATTTACGCTAAAATGAATGATATTTTACAAAAACAATTTACCAGAAAAATTGAAATTTTCCAAAGCCTATAGCCTTACTTTTTTATAAAAAACAAAGAATTTCTGACTCTTTAAAAGAGAAGAAGCCTCAAGGCTTAGTTTTTACCGAAATATAGGAATTTTGAAAAGCACTTAAAACTTTGGTGAAAATTATTGTTTATTATTAACAGTAACATAAGCAACCTTTCAGGAAAAAAATTATAACAGAAAAATTGAAACTTTGCAAAGCCTACAGAGTTACTTTCTGATCAGAAATTAACGCTATCTAATTCTGTAAGCACAAACTAAGAAATGTGTAAAAAGCAGCTGATACTTTGGTAGAAATTTTTCTACATTTACGTGAATGTAGATGATGTGTTGCAAAATAAAATTTAAGACAAAAATGACATTTTTCAAAGACTATAGGCTCACCTTACGTTCGGAAAGATAGGCTGTCAAACTCTTTAAACATGAACTGATAAATATGTGAAGCACTAAAAAACCTCAGCAAGTCTTTACACTGTCCTACTTCAAAAATAAAGACAGTCAGTTGTTTTCAACACAATCATGGAAATGTTTGTTAGAAATTAAATACAAGTTTTGAAAGGATAGGTTTAGACATTTTTGGTTGATTAAGTTTTTTACAAGAATGTTTAAATTCTTGAAAGTCTTGGGCTTCTTTTTCATTTGAAATGAACTGTCAAATATTATAAAATACTGAAATGTCAATAAAGACTAGATGCCGTTGTAGAAATAATATGATCAGACAAGATTATTTTTATGAAATAAATTTGTCTTACACCATTTGTATGTCAAACTGACAAAATGATTGTTTTTGCAAAAGATGAGTTATATGTAAACAAAATTTGGCAAAACTAAAAAATGATTTTTTTGACAATTCCATACAAAGAAACATAGGCTGGACTTTCTCTTGGATTGCGGTGTTCTCTTTATGCAAGTAATGGCTGGCAAAAAAGTGCTTTTTAGTTTTGATTAAGCAATTTGATAATGTCAGTCAATATTCTGCACAGTGGCGGACACTTGGGGGGGGGGAGGGGGGCGGCCACCCCCCAATACTTTAGAGAATAATGGTCTTTTGTTCTAAAACAATGGCAAATGTGACGTCATCTTATTAAAACAATAGGCTTGCCCCCCCAATATTTGACCAAGTGTCCGCCCCTGATTCTGCACATCAAAGCTTTTATTGTACAATTTTAAAGACGATTCCAAGATACTGAAATAATTTCTGAGAGAACAATGTGTTTTTGCCTGTGGCCAAAAAAATTGGCAGGCAAAATTGACTTCATTGATTCAATTTATGCTAATTTCAATCAAGAAGTCACTGAGACAAATAAAGAAATACAGAAGTCACAAGTTGGAAGGGTCACAATAGCCTTGCAGGTTTTTAAGGGTAAAAACCCTTTGGCAAATCATTGCAAACAAGTTAAAAGCTTTGCAATAGGCAGGGCTTAATTAAGTATGGTCTTCTCTACTAACTACATTAGAGAGGTCTTGTAAGTCTTTATAGTAATCTTAAGTTCAAAATAAGTTTTGTTTAAATATACTTTTCCAAAAAATAATTGTTTTTATCTTACTTGTGAAACATTTGCAAGAACTGTTTTGATGTTCTTAGGTAGAATTATTATCATTGTAACTAATTTATCAAATTACATCAGCGCATCTCAAATTTTACAAAGTTTTCATAAATGCACACCAAAATTGACCCACTCTTAGGTTCCTAAAAATATCCAAGCTAGTCATTATGCAATATTGATATCTTTACAAAACTTTATCAATTCAGATCAACAAAATTGGAACTGAAGACCCAATATATTCAAACAAGAAAAATTGCAAGATATTTAAGCTTTCTGTCCAAAATGTTCAAAGTATCCAGTGTTATAGACACCCACAAAGAAACTTCTATTAGTTTTATCTCAGCTAAACTATTTGCATGTTTTTAATCTAAAAATTACTTCCTGTAATAATAATAGTGTTGAGGTAGATTTAGAGTGGTTCTTCCATCACACTCAACCAGCACTCACACTGAAAATGCCACAATGGGGGCTTGCAAAAATGAAAATATTCTGCAATCAGATATTTTCAAAACAAACTCAGTAATCAAAATTATAAACTGAGACACAATTAGAGCCATTTAATTCATAAGAGCTAATGGTTCATTGACTTGTCAGGCATAGAAGCGCAACATGTGTTATTATAAAACACAATATATTTACAAAAGGTAAGGTTAATTTGCATTGATGTTACTTCTTGTTTGGCACCTAGAGGTTTTAAATTGTTAGCTAACTGCAAACTGATTTGGCCTTCTTAAAGTATATCTTCTTTCAATCAACAGTTGCTCTTTATTTTGCAGAGGCCAAAGGGTTTCTCAGAACAAGAATGACTGAGTCTCCTCGCAAGAACATTTTAGCGATGTATCTATCTTTGTTGATTGGCTTGGCCTTCTTTGTTCTACTTGACTTTGGAACTTCAGTCCACAGTTCTTTGACATTCTCCAAAACCATGTTACAGTGTCTGTCAAAAGCCTTCACTCTTCCAAGAAGTTTTCTGTTGTTTCGACAATTTATCAGAACCTGTGTGTTATTCTTTACTGACTGCATAAGCACTGACAATGGACCAGTATTAAATTCTTCTTCTTCCCTTTTAGCTAACTCCTCTGGAGTCATTTCTGACTTTGGTTTATTCATCAGCCTACAGATTAAAACCTCAATTTAAGTCAACTTAGTTATAAATACTTAAAAATCAAAAGTGGGAAAACCTAAAGAGTGCTCAGGTAACATGGGAGGCATCTACTCATGCAGCATGGCCTCTGACGAAAAGGTGGCTAGGGGGGGGGGCATGGCGTTCTCCGCTTCTTTGCAAAACAATAAGAGCTTTTTCAAAATCTTTTGTTATAGGTGTTCAATCTGGCCTTGCCCCTCTCCCCCCACTTTCCAACCTGTGTCTGAGCCCATGTACAGGGGTGAATCCCTCTGCTTTCAATTCTATGAACCTAAAGTTTGCAAAAAGTTTGTTTCCATCTCCCAGAAATCCTATCAGAACCAAAGCTGGAGACTTTGAAGAACCATATCTTTGGGATGGTATAAGATATCAAGCTGTAATTTTCAGGATGCTCCTATCTTACATATGAACATTGACACAAATTTTCATGCAAATCTGAGGTGGTGCATGTGGGACCCCTAGTCCACTTGGCATGGAATGACCTATTTCTATGTTTATAGCTTCACTTTGGTTTTAGAAGTGTGTTTTTGAAAAAACCTGACTTCAAGCTGAAACAGTAATCATCTATTCTTAAATAATGAGGCTTGATCTTCAAAACAAAAGTGAAGTGTGGGACTTAATCAATAGACTGTGAAATATTTGTTTATTTCTGGCCTGTTCAGTTTCAATTTTAATTTTTTATAATCAATTTTTGGTATACAATTTACAAAGATTTGACCACATTATAATCACGGCTCAAAATGATGTTGCCATTCATTGATCTGACAACATTTTCAAATGATGCAAATTTTCTCTGAAAAAATCTAAACTCATTAATTTCTCAGATGTTAGGGCACATTGTCAAGTAACAAATGCCAATTTAAACAAAATAAAAGAAACTGTAACTGAATATGTAACTGCACCATCAAAAACTGCATCTACAATTACCACAACAAAAAACAAACATAATATTATTCAGCAGAGAACTTACGACAAGATATGCTAAAGAATTACCTTTCTAAACCAAGATTATTTCATAAACAACGATTGCTGTGAATATAGTGCATTAAAATTGGACGTTAACTTTGCCTCCAAATTTCCATCCAGTTAAAAATAAAAAAAACCAAAATGTAAGGAACAATCTCATCTGTGTTGCTCTCATCTGCTACATTTAATTTTTTAGTCCTACTTGCTCTAGAACTTTGACATTTAAATGCTTTGAACCTCTATAGATAGAGTCCAAAGAAAGCGATGTACGTGTTTTGTCATTATATAGAGACCAATACAGAGAAATGAGCGGCTGCTTACCTCCAAAATATTGAAGCTCAGAATCAGTCTTGAATAATATAAATACATTTTCTATATAATAAATAACCATTTAAGCTAAAGCAATTATACTCACGACATTTTTTTCTTCCAATTTTACGATGTATGCAGATATTCTGAAGTGTCTTTATAAACGTTTCCTTCGCGTTTCCCCTTTCTTTAGGACTACAAATAGCTTCGTTGCCTCTCCTTCAAATCGAGGATGGGATGCATGCTTGCCGAAACAGCACAACACAACCACTTGTTTGGCCTAAAGCGTAGCGTAGCGTACTGACAACGTTTGCAGAGTTTGAAAGCTCTTAAAATTTCCGCAGCAAGTGTATAACAAAATGTCTTTGGCAGATGAGCTGCTTGCCGACCTTGAAGAGATAGATGGCGACGACGATGATAGGAGAATTGGGGAGGGAAATGACTTGGAACCTGAACATGGGATGGAAACTGACGAGCCAGATGACAAAATGGTCACAACTGGGTCTGTGACAACAGTAGCAAAGTTAAGGGACAGTGATCGATTAAAAAATGTATTAGGGAAAATGGAAGAATTTTTGCAAAATCCTAGATCTAGAGAGTCTGTTTTGGGGCCTGTTGAAATGGACCCAGAATATTTGTTGATTGTTGAAGCAAATAACTTGACAGTGGAAATAGACAATGAACTAATGATTATACACAAGTATTGTAGAGATCATTATTCTAAGCGATTTCCAGAGCTTGAGTCACTTGTGCCAGGGGCTTTGGATTATTTAAACACAGTCCATGCCCTTGGAAATGACTTAGAGGCAAGCAAAATTGAAGGTTTGGAATTCTTGCCGGCTGCGACTAGAATGGTTGTCAGTGTAACTGCATCTACAACTCAGGGAGAGATACTTGATCAGACTGAAGTCAACCGTTTGGACGAGGCCTGTCTAATGGCAATAGACCTTACTGATGCAAAGATAAAAATTTTCCAATATGTTGAATCAAGAATGTCATTCATTGCACCAAATTTATCGACTATTATTGGTGCCCCCACTGCTGCTAAAATAATGGGAATTGCAGGAGGGCTTACTGTGTTGTCCAAAATGCCAGCCTGCAATATTCTTCTTCTTGGATCTCAAAAGAGGACACTAAGTGGATTCTCTTCTACAAGCATCCTCCCTCATACTGGTTTCATTTACTTTAGTGATCTTGTACAGGTAATATTGTCATTGCTTTATATTTTATGTATAACTATATGAATATTTAATATTAGATACCCCAACTTTTTAGTAATTTTCTATATATAAACTACGTTGATAATTACATTACAACTTTTTCATTTGAATTGATTATCAAAGTTCTCATCGTTTTTAGAAGAAACATCATTGAAAATATCAAAGTTGTTGCATTTTGCAAGAACTATTCACTATTGGTCATTATTGATGTTATGTATGAAGATGTAAAAACATTTAGAATATATACCTTGTTACTGTTTTGACCTATTTATTGAAAACAAATTTGATTGCCAGTAAACTAATCCCCGACACATGAATTTTGTGACACATGAATTTTTCAGGAAATGGAAACATGATGTAGAGTTAGAAGGTCTTTTATAGTTTATAGTGGAAGTGAATTTGATATTTCCAGTGTTCAAAAAGAAAAAGCTGACCATTATAGGTAGAGTTAGCCTTTTTGTTAAGCACTCAGGTCTTTATAGAAAATTTTCCATTTTTATGAGCTTTAAGGTAGCAATTCTAGATTATATATTGTTATTGGGCATCTAGTTTTTAAAACAATTTAAGAAATTTCTAGGGTATTTTAATGCTAAAATTAGCATATGAATAATTTAGGAACTAAAGTAATGTGAGAGGGAGTGACTTGTTATGAAGAATTATGTTCTTATGCAAAATGTTCATCTTTTAAGCTTAAAAATAGCCATTTATTGACAAATGAGCCATTAGGATCTTATAAATTTCCTATCTCTCATCAACAGGGTGTACCCCCTCATTTAAGAAGAAAAGCAAGTAGGTTGGTTGCAGCAAAATGCTGCTTAGCTGCAAGGATAGACAGTTTTCATGATAGCTTAGATGGTAGCCTAGGCCAAAAGTTTTTAGAGGAAATAGAGAAAAAGTTGGACAAAATGATGGAGCCACCCCCAGTTAAAGAGGCAAAGGCTCTTCCAAGACCTGATGACCCTGTTAGACAAAAAAGGGGAGGAAGAAGAGTCAGGAAAATGAAGGAAAAATTTGCAGTGACTGAAATGAGGAGGCAAGCAAATAGGATGAAGTTTGGTGAACTAGGTGAAGATGTTTATCAAACTGATATTGGATATGGCATTGGTGCATTAGGAAAAGATGGAAGTGGAAAAGTTAGAAATCCTGCAATGGACAAAAAGACCCAAGTGTCAATTTCCAAGAGGTTGCAGGTTAGTCACATTTATTTTATAACTGTAAAATATACATCAAGTGCTGCAAGAATTCAGAAGGCTCTATTTCACCAATTTGAGCTTATTTGATTGGGCAACACTGGCAAATGAACTCATTAAGGGGGTAATCCTGCTTTGGATAGATTTTATTATTTTGATAGATATTAGGTTTACTCTTTTTAATCTTTTTAATTTTAATATTAACTAATTATAACATTTTTATTTCCATTATCTTTATCGTAAGGATGCTAAATCACCAGAAGATACTTAAAATTCAAGGAACTTAAATTCACAAATGAAGCTGAATTAGTAAAAAAACTGTATTTTATACCTTCAGAGAAATCTAGCTGCAATGGGACAGTCATATGGTGGCAAGTCAACTGTAAGAGGACAGATGTCAGTACGAAATCAGATATCAGCCAAAAGCCAAGTAGCAGGCACTGCATCCAGTGTAGCTTTTAGTGCTGTTGATGGTCTAGAAATTGTCAACCCACATGCAGCAGAGAAACGAGCACAGGAAGCAAATGCAAGATACTTTTCTAATCAGTCAGGGTTTCTCAATGTTGATAAGAAACCAAAGAAATGACAGATTAAAAATCTTCTTGCTTCCTTTTGTACATTCTAATAGTAACGTATTTACCAAAAGTTGTGTTTCATATCTTTCTGCAAAATATTTGGGTACTTAGATTTCAACATTACATTTTTACTTTTTCAACATTACATTTTTACTTTGTTTACATGTTCTGAACTTCAAGACTCAAATATTATATTAAGAAGTTTCAAATAGCACTGCTAAACAATTTTTTCATTCTTAGCTTCTTCAAAAAGTCTTGTCTGGTAACTTGGAGATTCCAGATTTTGCAATACTTGTTTGAGAGAATAAACAGAAGATCAGTGTTGACTATGAGGTGCTGTTATTCGCACCTAATTTCTAATGTGTTATTAATAAACCAAGTTCACAAAATCACAAAATCCAAGTTAGAAATGGCAGGTCATGTCATTTTATTGAACCATATTGAGCAAGTTGATCATTTTTTACAATATTTCCATTTTAGCAGTTTATTAAATTTTGCATAAAGATGTATATGAATTAGTGATAATTGTGTGTGACATGTCTTTTCTCTGCAAAGGATTGAAACTTAAATGAATCAGATGGTTTTCTGCAGCATATTTTTTCATTGAAAATTTTGAAAAACTTTGAGAGTTCCATTCATAGAAGAATCAAGAAAGATTTAGTACAGTGAGTTTTATACTTATCTTGTAAAAGTGTGTTTGATTCTTGCTAGTCTTTCACATGTTGTTACAACAGTGTATCAAGCTAACTCGAAAAATATAAAACATTATCATTTCATTCTCTTGACATTCAAAACATTACCAGCAACATATCATTTCCATTTTTCATGTAGAATTGCAATCAATGACAAGAATGCGAAATTCCTAAGATCATTTCTATCAATAGAACATTATAATCTGAAATTCGCGTCTGAAGAAAATGTTTGCAATTTTCTTAAAGAATAATTATGATTCTTCTAAAAACTGCTGAATAATCGTGAACTCTTTTGCTGTGTGACGTTAACCTTTGGGAATATCGGCCCATACTAAATAAATAGTTATTGGATAATTTTGCAAAATAATTACAAGTTTCTGCCAAAATCTGCCAATTACCTTTGAAAATTGTTCTTTGGTCTGACAATATTCGCCAACCTCCACGTAGATCGGACGATTTTTAAGCTGTTTCCCACAATTTCGCATGGGTGTGTCGCAATCAAAAACAAAATCAACAACTCTGAATACTGCTTTTAAGAAGTCATAGATACATAATTGCATCTAACTCTTAAAAAAGTTGCCATTAAATGTGTCCATGTCTCGGAACTGACAAATTTCATGTTTATTCGTCGTTCACTTAAAAAGTTTTTATCAATACAAAGGCATACGACCGTAAGTTCCTCCGAAACTCTAAAATAAAAATCTGGCCAGACTTTCACAAGGTGTTCCTTGACCAACATGAACTTGTCAATTGATAACGATTGGGAAAGGAAAAATTTTCTCTTTTTGCGTGCCAAATTCAGACTGATGTTTCATTTAAAAAATGCATTCTACAATCAAAAATGATTTCAACAACTTTGAAGAATGAAGTTAATTATAGACAAGGTTTACCACTGGTGTCTGCCAAAATGCGTACGAATGTCTTCTTCAATGTTAATTTGACAGGCAACTTCGTCTGGTCTTTAGTCTCCTTTTAAAACGATTCTTTTCTACAGAGGAGTATTAGCTTCTTAGCTATGTTTTAAGGAAAATGTCCTACACCTCCATAATATGTGACTCGAACCAAATTAGAAGTCGCGTTTATACAAATTTGTTTGCTTTTTTTGGTAGAATCTTATTTAAAGCTTGAAGTCAATTTGAAATGGCTATTAGAATTGTCAAAATCTGCACCTGTAATGAAATGTGTATTTTTCAATGCCTGATTTGACTTTTGCTTGTCCGTATCGACAGTTCTCGAGAACACTTGTTCAGTAGGGTGCACGTCAGAGCGACGTCTCGGGTTGTGGAAATCCTTTCGATGCTTGTTCTTCATGCTGTAGCGTTCCATCATACTGTCCTCCGTAGTTGCGTCATAGCTCTCAAATGCAAAATTGTTTATACACAGTGGTCCCATGGGAATGGAGAAATCGGCTGGCTCATTGAAATCGTTCATGACATTTGAATTTCCAACTGCATGTGGCAGTTCGAATGCTTCAAACCACGATAGGCTATTTTCAGCATTACTGTTCCATTTCCTTGCCCTAAGATAGTAAAGATTTTATTTCATATAACTATGCTATCCTAGTCAAAATACAGTAGTACTGAAATTAGAGGCCCATAGAAGTAGGACTTTCAAGGACAAGATTCAAGGTAGCAATTTTGAGTCAGTCTACGGTTTTAATGTTTCAGGAAAGACTCGGTCTATCTGTAAAGTTAGAACAATCTCATTACGATCATGATCTTAATCATTAATATCAACCAATCATTACAATCAATCGACTAATCAGTCAATCAACTAATTAATCACTCCAACCAATCAACAGATCAATACAGTGACCGTAAACAAACCGTTTTCGTCGATTCTGTTTTTTCCAGAGGCAAACAAGAACAATAAGTGTACCAATGAAAAGCACTATAATAACTGGAATTAGAACTGTTATCATCCACCCTCGATCTGAAAAGAAAGTTTCATTTGCTTAGATTTGAATTTTGAATTTCAAAGGCAAATTGGCAAGTCCTATAACTTTTAAATGCCTGGCAGTTTTATCTGAAATTAAGAATAGCGTAAAATACAACGATATGAAGGCAAATTCAGCTGGTATCTTGTTCAAAAAATTGAAAAAAAGTCCTGTCTAGTTTATAATTTTTTGGGTAGCATGATATAGCCTACAAACGAAATGATCCTGCACTTTGGAAGTGCATTGATTCTTTAGATCATTTTGATCACACCACAGAAATACACAATTCATTACATTACCTGGATTTAATGCCATTTTTGTAATTTCATTCGCATCCTTGGTCTTTACTGAACTGAAATTTGGTCTGATGGTGACATGCGCTGCACTTTTTGCAAAGGCGTACAGGTTTTCACTCGATGTTGAGATGCTTAAAGTTACCGGCATTGTTTTAAAACTAATGTTGAAAAGACTTTCCGGTTCTGTGATGGATGAAAGCGTCTGCAAAAGTTCTGCCGTCTTTTGGTATTGATTTCTACCTTGCAGAGGAGCAAATGATGGCAGAATCGAAGTCGACATATTTTCGAATCTACTCACGATCGAACTGTCTCTTAAAATCTTAGTCTGGCCAAGCCAGCTTGTGCTAAGGTCGTTTCCAGTTCTCCTGCTCCACATCGGATTTACAACAAGGGCCGTGAAACCAAATGAGCAAACAGTTCTTATGCCTCCTTCTGTGATAGAAACTTCGAATTTTTCAGTAACGCTCTTCCCATTCATAATATATATCTGCTCCTAAAACAAAAATTAATCTTTACACTGGGTAAAAGAATATTACCCTTGAGATAAATTTCACTTAAAATTCAATAATTTCCACAAAAAGGCAAAATCTCATTTTTGAGACGTTTGGAAATAAACGAGACATTAAATTTATTCTCCGCCGTCCATTTCTTGTGCATTATGCCAGGTAATGCTAATCCAGATAATTAAGTATGAAACCAAACAAATTCGTTAATTTTAAAAGCCTTAGACATATTGATAGCTGGAACATGTAGGCCTATTCAAATGCTGTTCAACTGCGCAGGAAAAAGAGGCTACAAAAATTTTGCTGTTTGGTGATTTCATATTGACCTTGTCGAGAATAATTTTAATGATTTTACTAGAAACATATTTTGAAAACTTCCAAAGTTAAAAGATTAGCTCAATAATTTGCAGCTTAGAATAATGATTGTGAGTCTGTAGGAGAGTGAACGATAACTGACCGCGTAAACGCTACCTTCGTAAAGGGAGTCATTATGAATTATTCATTTGTGCTGGCTGGCATATGTTTATTACATATGTTAGTATGGAGTTAATAAGATGAGTAACTTACCATCAATACACTGCAAGGAATTGTAAAATGGCTGATCAAGTAACCCTAACGGGTCATAATGCGCCATTCCTTGAAACATTTGCAATCAGGCTGTGTATGCTGTCCTTTAAAGAAGCATGTGCAAATTTCAACTGACCTGCTCGCGCTCCAGAGAGGGTCATGAATCTTTAATCATGTTACTTCTGCTGTACACAACTTTATCTAGTGGCCTAACTTGATAAGACATTTAATAAACTACGAATGTCTTCCAAGTTATAGCATTTTCCAGCTTAAAAGGCATGCAAACAGTGTTTTCAATTAATAAAGTGCAAAATGCTTTTATACAGAGGTAATAATCAAGATCCACTATCCAGCCAACTCAAATTGAACTACATCTTGAAATACGCATTAGCTGTTCGCTTTAATTTCGTGTGGAATTCGTCGCGTGGCAAATCTATGGCAGCCTTCAACTACATCCAACTCGTCACCGATATTTTTATGTTCTTATGAAAACTATGAAAGACCTTTTTAAGTTTTTTATTTATCTTTGCTTTGTGATATTTTGTATCGTCATACTTGAATTCTTCATATTCGTGTTTCTGCAACGGCAACACCTGCGCGTCAATCAGGCTGCAAATTCAAATAATATTTTCCGCTTTCTCTTGTTTACTGCCCGTATTCACAAGTCACCAGCTTTTCATGAAAGATCAATGTATCGCTAACAATTCCAAGAATTCTTTGTATTTTGTTCAGTAAGTTGGTCGAGGATCTGTTACCACACAAAAAAGAATAAGCTTTTAGAAATTGTTATCCTGGACTTTATAGGATATTGTAGCGAGTTGAATTATTTATATCCGCAAATTGCAAATTGCTTACCTTCATATCTGCAAAATTCTGAAAGTCATAACTAAATCACATCTTACACCTGCACTGTAGCAGACGAAAAGCAAGCTCAAACACTGTCGCAACGTATGTTTTAAATATGGAGAAAAGGGTAGAACATAAACAGATCAACATGTTCATATTTATTTTATTTATTTCATCTTTGATTTGTTTAGAAGGGTTGCCCTTCAAGAGAAGTTGTTTTTCAAGGGACCCTCCATTAAAACTAATTACAATATATAATTAAAATACTAAATAATAAAAACCAAAATAATAACATTGAGTCATGATAAAATGGCTTGGGTATATAATATAAACAGCAAAAATGTGCAAAAATCGCTGAGTCATGATTTTCATGACTGGGATGCTATTGGTTGACCTGGATCTGGTCACATGAACTCACCTCGTACTGATTGACAAAACAATTTCTATCAATGACGCATTGTCAATAACGGATGCAAATATCATATGAAACAGCAGCGATCACGCCGAATCCAAACAACCCCCTATAGAGAAGGCCTATTTAAGGCTGGTTTTCATATATCGTAATTCGTCGGCGATGATCCCCGACGCAGCTTCCCGATGGTCTATGACAATCTGCGATGGTTTATGACATATGAAAACCGGGTCATCGGGAACCATCGGCGATCATCCCCGATCATCGCAAAATTCAAAATTCAAAGAGAACAATAGATCAGGAATGTTATGTCTAAAGTGAGGTCATTTTCACTAAAGCTAGGGTAACTGTTTCGCGGAAAACTGCTTTCGATAGTACAGGAAACAGAAAGGCCCAGAAAGGGTGGTGTTATAATTCCTAGTCTAAGTTTGCCTTATTTTTTATGGTGAATCATCAGTTATGCCATGATCATTATATAATCCACTAAACAAAATCTTCCCCAGGAAAATCAGACTTGAATTTGCCTCCCTATTTTTTATTTTTGTTGTTGCAATACTGACCTCTTCTAAAGCAATCTTTTCCTGAGGGGTGCAGGGTGAAAGTTTTTGTATTTTTGTAATGAATTTCTATTTGGAAAATATCCCGAAATATCCTGTGAGGGCACGTGCATCCTCTTCCTCATTGGAATACATCAGTCAATCTTTTGATTCTATTTTCTATGCTTTCTTTAAGCTCAAATAAATGATCATATTATCTCTCTGCTCACCTGAAGAAATAATCGCTGTCCAACAGTCTCATTTCCTGCACAAGCGTTTCAAACTGGCCGAACTGTTTGCGAGCAGAAAATATTTTCCGACCCAGAATCTCTTCTTCCTGTATTTCTTGCCGTCTTGGACATAACAGGAAGGCTATTCCATAGTTTAGCTCCCCGGAAAGAAAAGAATTTTTGTCCATTTGCTGATCTTTTTTTGGCAATCTTAAAGGCATTTGACATGCATGAGTTACAGCGAGTTCAAAAATAACTTAGGCCAAACTGATCAGAGCACGCGCAAAAGAAATGTATTGAAAACCGCTCACGTGAAACCACTGCGCACTGCTCTAGGCTTTCACCGATTTGCAGAAAGGCGGAAACTGTTCACGTATTTTTCTCTGTGCGCAATTTGATTGGTCAACCATCGTGGTCGAGTGGCTGTAAGCCACTTTTTCTTGCGTCAAATGCCTTTAAATCAGTCTCAGTGTCCTGGAGGCTACGGGAGGAGCATGCTGAGTTTTTGGTGAAGAGGTTACACAAGTATTGAGGAGCCAAATCATAGAGCGACTTGAAGACCATTGTTTTAGTTTTATTGCCAATGAGCTGAGCACTTCAATGTTCTTCCTGCCCAACTCTGCAACAAGTGGTCTGCTTAGGGTATCAAAGCTGCTATTTGTTATGATCCTAGCAGCACGATTTTGAAGTTTTTGTAACTGGTCGATGTCTGTAGACCCAGCACAACCCAAGACACAACAACAGTATCGACTTATATTTTACCTATGTATGAACATGAACATTTACCATTATGAAACATTATCCTTTCAGTGGTTCCTAGTTCTCTGACCGCGCACCACGTTTTTAATTAGTTCGATTATTAAGATGGCAGATATTTTTATGTTAACATTTGTTTATGTTGAATGCGTTATATTACCAATAATCCAATGAGTTTTCTCTAAGTTTTACCTCCGTCATGAGTACAGATTTAACACTTGGAATCTATTTGATGAGTCTTCAAAACACGAGAGCTGGTATTATTAATTTTGTGGGGCGTGGGATGATGATTGAATGCGAGAGGATCTTTTTGGTGATGTAGATAATGGATTAAAGATGATGTGATCGCATATTCTCATTTGATGGTGTGATGATGACATAATTGAAAACAGAAGTTTGACAAATTGGAAAGAAATCGTCAAAATTCTTCAACTGCAGCTCTTTTAGAATATCAGGAAAGTCTCACGAAAAAGGAATGGGCACCTTCAAGTGTAACACACTTACCAGAAAGACTTGTATAGTTCTCCCTGTTTCTAATTGATGATAACTTCAGTTCATTTACATATCGATATGCATATTATTTAATAAATCAACTAGATTTCAGCGTCTCAGACTAACATTTAATCATGTTGGTAGTTTGAATTACAATTTTTCCTCACTCTGCAATAGACAATTCATGCAGACATAAATTGTAGGTATAGCTTGCGAATTTTACTCAATCATTCGCAATTAGCGAAGCAATTACAAGAATGAAAGTCATACACTAACCAAGTTAATTACATAAGTTAATTAATATATTTGAATCGAGTGGCCAATCTAACTTTATGTTTTCTAAAACCCTAATGGTTACCATAATCAACGAAATAACCTTGAGTTTTACTTTTTGAAAGGGGGCATGCCCAGGGATGGCACCACCGGGGGTGCTTGGGGGCAAGAGCCCCCCCCAAAATTCATTGAACCCCCCGTCGGTACTTCAATTTTTGAAAAATTTAAGCAATGTCGGCACTTTCATAACTTACACTTCGTGATTTTTTTTATTTTTTTCATTGTTTGATTTTTTTTCAATTTATTTTTCATTTTTTGAACTAGATTTACCACAGCAGATGGTGTTATATTACATTTTAGTGGGTGGTTCATTCACTGTCGGCACCCTGACATTACAGCCCCCCAGCATTTCTTTTCTGGCACCATCCCTGGGCATGCCCTTCGATACATCTAACCGATCCTATGCACCCATTTCTCAAGGTGGTCCCCAATTTTCACTGATTCCTGCGCATCTTGTCATACTAATCCCGCCTTGCTTATTATGCAATAATCTTCAATGAAATTTGCATGGTTAACATTTCTTCTGCGGTGCTGGAAAGCAAGATGTTATGATTTCACCGAGAATCGAATAAACACTATTGTTCTATTAATCTAGCAAAAATCTAACGAATTCGGCAAAAATGCAACAAAAATGGGAAGGATAAATAAGACTTGGAGGTATTTACAGATTTATCTTTTCACTTGTAATGAGCGTCGATCATGAATGTGTAAGAACCAGCCATTGCTTGATGACAACAAAGAGCAGACGCGTTTCCATATGTTAATGTTGTCTGTTCAATCCTACCCAAAGTAGCAAGGGACATCTGAGGCAGTTTGAACCCTATTAAAGGCTTGCTGGCATTGAATCGCTAATCCCCTGTTCGCTACAAAGTCTTGGCGGGGTAGCTGAATGTAGATAATCGGTAGAAAAAAGTGGGTATTTGTTGAAGTCTCGTTAAGGCTTGTTTGTTGGGTCCATAATCTTGTAAAACAGGGGAATCTCCACATACAAGCCCCGCTATGCAATGACAAAATTGAGATATTCCTCCGGTAAGATATAAGATATTTCCGAAGTCTTTTCTAACCTTTTCCTGCAGATAAAGCTCGTTTGAGTTTTGTAAGAAAAAGTTTAACCTCATCAAGTTCTCATTATCAGCTCCTCTTCCCCAGTTCTCTCAGTTTGCAAGCTTTTATTCTTCTCAATCTGATGACACAAATAAATAAATCTTATGATTAGAGCTGTCATATTGATTAAGCTAGTATTATTTTCATGGAAATATGCATTGAAACCAAAACAGTACTATTTGTTAAGTTAAGTCGTTGATACTTCTTTGGAAACGTTTTTCACTGAAATGATCTAAAGTGAGTCAAATTCAAACAATAACATAACAATAGAGAATGATCGCTATAAGTGCACTAAAGAATCCGCTACAATCAGTACGTGAAAAAGTAAAATCAGTGATAGTTCGTTGAAGTTTAATCAACTGCAAACATGTTTTGCTAATCAACTAAAGTTTTATTGCCTGTAGATGACGTTGGTCTGACGCTCGATTCCCATCCTGGATTGACGGTGTTTTGCTTGAAGACTTTGCCGATAAAAGGTAAATCAAGGTTGCGTCTGAATTTTGCATGCAGGAACGAGTAAATGATGGGATTGCACAAAGTTGACAACTTTGCAAACACGGCTGAAATTGTGCCCAGGTACTTCGGCACAGTTGCAACGTGCTTGAAGTAGGATGACCAAAAGGAGATGACGGTGTATGGCGTCCAAGACACGACAAAAGCAGTTGACATGACAATTGCTAGTTTGGTGTGGCGTTTCTCCGCTTGCACGGTCTCCATCATTGCCTCCATCTGCATTCCGGCCATTTCGACTGCACGTTTCTGCATTTGGCGTAGCTCCCTCTTCACGGCACTAAAAGCAAAGAGCATCATTCCAACGGGCAAGATGTAGCAGAACACGTACAGGGCTGCCACGTAGCTTTTGTCGCTGGCAGATTTGCCATTCCAGTTGATTGAGCATCGAAGATTGTCGTCCTCTAGAGCGTAGCTTGACCAGCCAAGAAATGGAACAACTGCCCAGAAAAACGAGAACAGCCAAGGAAAAACGTTAGACGCTACGACGAATTTCTGGCTTCCGTGATACACTGTTGAAAAATAGGGCTTGCAGATGGAGATGTAGAGGTCAAATGCAACGACAGCCAGGTAGTTGATAGACACTAAGCCGAGGAATGTTATGAAGAATCCTGAAGCCTGAAAGAAATAGACAATGATTCATATCGCAATGAGCAATGATGTATTACAAATGTTCACTTCCAGGGTGGAAAATTATTCGATAGAGGATAGAGGTTCAATTCGAGGATTTTACGGTACAACGCCATACAGAGATGCCTAGTTTAAAACGAAGGATCCAAATTTTGAAAAAATTGCTCAAAAACTATTTAAATGTAAAAGTAGATATCAAAGCTTCAGCTAGCAATATTATCGTCCAGCACTTAACCACCAACATCGTCCAGGAGTATCTCTTTCTCATTGCATTATAACCCTCAGCTTAATGGAAGCTGGAAAGTTTGGCAAGAGCTGACTAAAAAATGTAGCCCCCTCATCCATAAGCTGCCTTTGATTATAAACGACAGCAAAACGTGCCAAAAACAATTATTATCGAATAAATATACAGTATTCAGAACTATCATATTGAATAGCTATATATTGGAGAAATAAATTGACCAATTAACAGCATTAGGTGATTTCTAGGAAGCCGTTTAAAAGGTTTTGTTGAGGAGATAAGGGACACGGCAAAACCAACATTTATAAAGAGAACGACCAAGTTATTTTCATAGTTCTGGTTACCGTGAAGCCTGGATCTGCTTTATCTCTTCAAAGGTCTGCCATGAGCATTTAAGTATCAAATATAGGAAAGTATAAAAGCAAAATGAGGTGAAGACTTAAAGTCGCAGTTGGTTTACGTAATTTCATTTTTATTCGACTCGGCATTTTAAGCAACTTGTTAGAAATATACATATAAAGATTGAATTACGCATTTGACCCAATAGTAATATTCACAAAACTAATGAAGTAAATGTAGCTGTTAAAGATGGTTAATTTTATCTAAAAATAGCTGATAATAGTATATGCCTTGCATGATACCCTACCTTACAATAGGAGTGACTTAACGTCCATGACCCTTGCTGAGACGAGAATATTTCGAGAGGGTAGCCAAGTGCACACTGAAGAACGTCACTGATTGCCATACCGATGATATACATATCCTTCGCAATTAAACGTGATCTTAATCGACAAAATGCGTATAATACAATCGCATTCAGCAGACAAGAAACAAAATCTGTCAAACTCAAAGCAACTACTAGTATAATGGAATACATTGTGCTGTATTTAATGCTCTCTGTTTAAGACGTTCCTTTGATTTTATATGCTTCTTGCACTTTGTTTTGCATAATTCATTACATTTATCAATATGCAAGTTGTCAAGTACACTGGTCTTTCTAGCACAGCATGTTAGCCAATTTTGCTTGCAGGTTGAAAAAGTATGAGTGACCTAACCTAACTGAAAACAAAATTTTTGATTAAAGTCTGCAATATCTAAAGCTGGAAATTCGGGAAAGAAATTCCTGTTGAGAATTAGCACAATCATATGCAACTGCGACACACATTAGTAATCTTCTTCATCAATGGTATGTCGTATTATAGATAATTACAGGCATCTCACAAAAAGAAACCGTTTCGTTTCTTCATTATTTCGATCATCTTTGGTGTTCACCATCGTTATCTGTGATCAGTGTCATTGGGAGGTTGTCGCTTTACTTTCTACTTTGTCATGCATGACTTTCACGTCATTTAATCCTGACCAACAAAAACAAGCAGTTGAGTTAATATTTTCAAGGAAAAGGATTGGAATTGATCATCCAAAGATACTGTTTAATAACATCCCAGTGAAGATAGTCAATGAACATAAACATCTTAGGGTTATCTTGGATTCAAAGCTTTCTTTTTGCTGCTCACATCAAATCAGCCATCTCTATGTGCGACCTCCCCTGGATTATGGGGATGTTATACACCATATCCCGGCTAAAATGTGCCAACTCAGTCAGAATACTTTTTACCAAGTCTTATGGAAAGGATAGAGTCTGTTCAGTATCAGCCACGTAGCTGCAGGGAGGCACGGCACGGGGGGGGGGGGAGGCTGTGCAATGAACCCTTTTTCAAAATGATATTTAGTCCAAACATATATGTTTGTTAATATCTGCTCTCTTGTTTTAAATCCTGCCCCCCTCAGGTATGGCTCTTGCTCGAGTTTGCCCACCATAGCCGACATCTACAGCTACGTGGTTGGTTCAGTATTCTGCTGCTCTAGCTATAACTGGTACATGGGGGGGGGGGGAAACTTCGCGACAAAAATTGTATGCAGAGCTCGGCTGGGAATCATTAAGTTCCCATAGGTGGAGCAGATTTACTTTGTTTTGCAAGATTGTAAATGATTTCACCTCCATTTAGATGATGGATCTAATCTCTCAGCTTCATCAGTCACATTACTCTCTTTGCAGTCAGGACGTCGTAGGGCAAATAATGGCAAGAACAGGAAATTCAAATCTAGTTTCTATTCTCACTGTTTATCTGAATGGAACAATAGTGAACCAGAGCTTAGACTTGCACCATCCGTCGCCATTTTCAAGGAAACGTTTTTGTCAATTATTCACCCCATTGCAAAGTCTCTCTTCAGAGTTCATGACCTAATAGGTTTACCCCTTCTTACTCATCTTAGAGTTGATGTAGGGAAATTAAACTTTCACAGATTCAAAAACAATTTTAGGAATACTTTAAACCCAATGCGCCCTTCGAATGATGGCATTGAGGATGCGGACCATTTTATGTTGCTTTGCCCTTTTTTCGATGCTCAACGACAAGATCTTCTTGCTGGAGTCTTTGACATATTACGACCTCTTGGACCTACAAACCTGTCAAATAAGGCTCTAACTCAGCTTTTACTATATGGCAATGAAAATTTCCCTTATGGCGTCAATAGAGACTTTTTCAACTTGACTCTAGAATTCATCCGCAATGCTAGTCGGTTTGAATAAGGTCGTTTCAATTTAAAATGTACACAACTTAACCATTTTTTTACCTAAAACGTATTTTTACTTCTCATTTTTATATTTATGTGTATATATGTGTTAATGCCCTTGTGGTAGACACAGCCTTTTGTCTCCCGGGGGGTTTCGTCCCAGTAGTATTGCAAAGTAGTTCTTATTAGTAGTGTAGACAGTAACATGTATTGTAACTTTTTATTGGATTATATAAGAAAATGCATGACTGAGCTTAAATATTTCAGGCTTTGGTTTTCAGTTTTTTCAAAGATCATAGCATACCTTTTTTACATTCATTTCAATATTTTATTCCAGTGCGAAAGAGTCAATTGAAGTCAATCTTATTGAAAAAACCATAAATAACTCCCCTGCAAGATGAAAAATACGTTCTCGATCACTAGACGACTGCAAACTGAAAACAGTTATCTGTCATCAATTGAGTCAATGGAACAATAATGCAGGCTCACTAGCCTTACGGAAAGTTAAAAGCTAATCAAAATTCAGAGGTCCAATGAGCTACCCTAATCAAAATTCGATCTTAGAGAGATGAGAAATAAAAATATTTTTCTGCCGACTAGGAGGGCAAGCAACTGCAAAGCAACTGTGATGCAAAATCTAAACCGCAGCGAGGCTAACAAATGAATTTAAACTCTGAATCGCAATCAGGGTCGTCAGTATACAAGAACTGTTCATTTGAATTCATTTCCTTCAAAACATTACGTTACTTATTGAAACTTATAAAGGAAAAGCAGTGGTACAAATGAAGTTCATATGCTATGCGAGAAAAAATATTCAAGAAGAAAGCGCTTGTATACCGAAGACAAGTGCACTTTCAAGAGGAGTACCGCACGGTTCGGCATTAGGGCCCTTCTTTTCCATGTAACTTTTCATTCAGATTCCAAAATTCTGATTTACGAAATTATTAAACTTTGAAAAGCCCAGAACTGGGTTCTTTTCAGAAGCAAGGCTCTTTTGTTTTTTAAAGTCTCTATTTTAGACGATTGTCGCCAACACTGCATCTGCGATGAATCACACCACATAAACCTTCTTACTAAGTGGCGGTCTGACGTTTTTACCAAAAGGCTGAATGCTTGTAACATCCCAGTCTTTTGTTCAACGATGTTTACAGCTGGGAAGACATTTTAGAGCTTACAGTTTTCTTTATTAGGAATCCATTCTATCATCATATACTGAGACCATGCTGTTTCCAATAAACTATATAAAGTTTGTAGGCCTTTCACCGTTAGACGCAATTAGATTATACACGCTTTTCAGACACATGGCTGATTTTATGAAACTGCTTCAAGGAATCATAGATTCTGAGGTTTTCAATACAAACACGTACAATTTCTATTCTTTGACCAAAAAAGTTTTTCCTTGATTTCATTTCTATTCTTCCAATGGCTAATCCTTGAAACTATCTTCATGTTTTTGCGCCATGACAAAATTTCTTTTGCATCAACAATCATACGGTAACAAGATCAAATGAGACTTCAGAAAATGAAAACCTGCATGTTTACCCATATAGATAGTAGTTTCAACAGTTAGTAAATGTAATAACACTCATAGACAGAGTAGCTTTAACATTTGCCTGTCGATCGCATTAACTAAACATGAAACACATAGTAGCAACTTAGAACCGTCCTGTTCTTTACACCAAAAGAGTAATTTCTAATATATGCATGTAAAAAAATCTTACCTTGCAAGAGGTGACGTTGAATTTCCATTGGCCATGTTGTGAAGAGTATATTTCAAGGGGATAGCCAAGAAGACACTGGAGTATATCGCTAACTGCCATCCCTACCATCAGAATATCCTTGAACGTCAGTTGGCTTTTAATTTTTGCAAAAGTGTAAATTACAGCTGCATTTATTAAAACAGCAAATACATCAGTTATGCTAAGTAAGACGACAGTTATTGCTGACATTTTAGTGGAAGTTAGAGAAACGACTTAGCTGTCGCAGAACCAGCATCTTTATAAAAGCAGGGGCTTTAATTATTCATAACCTCGAGGCAAAATACTGCCTAAGCATTTTCGCAGTGAACCAGGAAATAGAATCACTGGCTTATAGAAGACCGACATATTGGAACAGGTAATAAAGATCTTATTCATCTGATTCTCTGATGCCGAAGATTATATAACTTTTGCTAATGCTTGGAAGGCATCGATTGATTAGATCAGCTAATCAAGACATCATTCATGCATCTAAAATCCTTCCTAAGTAATAAATTTCCCTTCATAAGTATATGCAAAAGCTGTATCTAGTCCTCCGTTTATAACTTTTCGACGTCTAGTCTTTTAATTTACGAGCAAAGAAACACAACAGACCTAAGGCCTAGATCCAATTTAGTTTACAGTCTTTGGCAGAAATGATCTAAACCACGATCCTTGTTAAGCCTCCATTTAGTAATTAGTAACATTTCCACGATAAGAAAGTCATAAGTAACCTTTCTATATCCCTTCTCTTCTAATATCTGCCCTCTTTCTATATATTCTTCATTGGCGATACAATAAAAAAGACTGCTGATCAGGAAACTCCAAAGTCATCAGTAACCTTTCTATATCCCTTCTCTTCCAATATCTGTCCTCTTTCTATATCTTCTTCATTGGCGATACAATAAAAAGGACTGCTGATCTGGAAACTCCAAAATCATCAGTAACCTTTCTATATCCCTTCTCTTCCAATATCTGCCCTCTTTCTATATATTATTCATTGGCAATACAATAAAAAGGACTGCTGATCTGGAAACTCCAAAGTCATCAGTAACCTTTCTATATCCCTTCTCTTCCAATATCTGTCCTCTTTCTATATCTTCTTCATTGGCGATACAATTAAAAAGACTGCTGATCTGGAAACTCCAAAGTCATCAGTAACCTTTTTATATCCCGTCTCTTCCAATATCTGCCCTCTTTCTATATATTCTTCATTGGCAATACAATAAAAAAGACTGCTGATCTGGAAACTCCAAAGTCATCAGTAACCTTTCTATATCCCTTCTCTTCCAATATCTGCCTTCTTTCTATATATTCTTCATTGGCGATACAATAAAAAAGACTGCTGCAGGAGTGGCGGCATGGGGGGGCAAGGGGGGGCTTTAGCCCCCCCTAGATTTTTGTTAGCCCCCCTGTCGGCAGCCAATCAATTTTTGCTTTCTCAATACCGTCGGCACTTGATGGATGTCACCCGGTTTACATCTTGTTTGAATGACAAAAATAATCGAGGAGAAAACTGCACTGGCTGGTTTATGGTTTTCTCAATGGCTTTTCTTCGGCAATTTTACTATCATAGTGGCATTATATCCTGTCGCTTCCGTGAAAGCTGTGACTTAATTTCATGGTGCTCCTTCGCATGACCCACAATACCATCGTGCTCCTCTCTGTTGAAATCCCTGTTGCTGCTCATGCGAATGCCAATTCATGCGAAACGTGCAGAGACGCTTGATTTGGATCATGTTTTGGACCGTTTCAAGGAAATTTACCCTAACAACAGCAAAATCACGTTGTCATAAATAAACTCTTTAATGAATTTTCTTCTTAAGGGATTCTCTTTTCGTTTCAAGACATTATTATTGCCAATGAAGACATTTCGATCATGAGCACATTTTGCGCAATAAATTTTTCAAAAAGCACTTTTTGTCCTTTTCATCAACTATTTTTCAATAGCATTCTTCACCGCATAGCTTCCGACAAACAAATGTTTTAGAGAAAACCATCGATTAACTTCTTCCAACATGGATAGGAAGAAATATTCAACAATAGGCAATATTTGCGCATTAAGTTTCTTACAAGGCACAATTTGCCGAGAAAATCTCGTGGACTCCGACACAGGTTGGAAAATGGGGGCGGGGAGGGGGCAAGGGAGAATTTTGCACCCACAACAAATGATTTTGGAAAAATGCTCTATTGCTTGCTCTATATGCTTGCTTGCTCTTGGAAAAATGCTCTAGATCGGTGCCCTTTCATTGGAGGTGCTGCTCAGGGGGCGTCGAGACTGGGGGGTTGTCACACCCACCCCAATAGTATCTCAATAGGAAATTTCAGGTAAAATCCGCTCGGTGGAAGAAACGCTTTAGGTATTTCAGAGACCTTCCTGTCATAAAATCAATGAAGGATCAAGCAATCTTAGGTAAAATTGTGCCTCGTGTCCATTTCTCCTAAAGTTTCTCAGTAGAAGCGTCAACTGCAATTCACTATGAGCTCCAGATTTTTCTTAACATTCATAAGGCATGCTAAGATGGAGAGAGGGATCTAAATTTAAAAGTAACTGACAACCTGGTATTTTTCAAGACCACGGCGAAATTGTTGTTTTTATCTGCTGTAAAAATTTTTTGCAAAAAGATAATAATTTTCAATAGGATTAGGAGGATTGCTTTAGTGAAATCTGCTTAAAAGAGTGAATTTTCCAGGGAACTAGAAGCATCACAATTCGAAAATTTCCTACCCCTTCGGCGGCAACCATGGTGCCGCCTCGAGTAGTAACTATATATTTTGCCCGTCCCGATATAGAGATTTGACAAGACTATTAGAAAAGTCGGTTATTATCATACAAAGTTAGATTGATAAAATGTATTGCAGAGGTTTGTGACACCAGCTAAAAAGTTTCAGGCAATAATTTTTTAATCAGGTAAATTCGCATTCCACCCCCCTCCCCCCACGAGGCTTGCCTCGTGACGGCCCTGCCTGCTATATGGGGCAAATCGAATTTTTTTTTCTGTCGGCAATTTGACACATCCAGCGTCGGCAGTTACGGAGAATATAAACTTCGGCACCTTGAAGGTTTGTCTCTAGCGCCACCCCTGGACTGCTGATCTGGAAACTCCAAAGTCATCAGTAACCTTTTTATATCCCGTCTCTTCCAATATCTGCCCTCTTTCTATATATTCTTCATTGGCAATACAATAAAAAGGACTGCTGATCTGGAAACTCCAAAGTCATCAGTAACCTTTTTATATCCCGTCTCTTCCAATATCTGCCCTCTTTCTATATCGTCTTCATTTGTGATAAAAATTAAAGACTTAGTAAGAATTAGAAAGTGATAAGAAACGTATTTATATCCTGTTTTTTCAAATATTCTTTCTTTCCCATAACTTCTTTGATTATGGTACTATTGAAGAGACCGCCGGTCTGGAAATTCCAAAGGAATAGGTAGTCTTTTTATATCACTTTTCTTCGAAAAAATCACCCCTTTCTATATATTCTTTGATTGTTGGACATTTGAAGAACTTTCAAAATCATTAGTAACCTCACGACGTTTCTTCTCTTTTGATATCTCCTGATCTCATAGTCCATTCTACTCTCTTATTTTCGCGTCAGCTAACTGCGTCTGTCACTTTGGCTCGAGCATATGATCAGTTGGACCACCCCCGAATGTTGAGCTCTGAATAGTGGTGCTAGTATGGATTCTTGATCAACAAAGACACTGTCTACAAATGCTTGCATATTTGTTATCGACTTCTAGTTCAAGCCTATATGTCATCGACTTCTAGTTCAAGCCTATGAACATGCACCAGCCATACCATTGTTCGAGAGCTGAATTTGTTCCTTCGTGAGGAAGGAATCTTTCGCACCAAGGGTCACTTCGATCTCGACGCTTCATTTGACATTGTTGCTGTAGCTTTCACATTTTGCTGGTTAGCTGATTGTAGATTATCACCAGCAGTCACATTACATCGGGATTGATGGCACAATTTCTCTCTACAAAATAGCATCTGGGTACCAAGTTCTCGATCTGTTACATGCTGTCTACTTTGTAGAAGTCTTAATTGCAAAATGTAAAGTGCAAAAGAGTTACTAGAAGAAACTACACATTTCCTATATAAGCAGAGTTACAAACATTTCCCATCGATACGTCTAGCCGTCCATTTTAGAACATCGGATTTTACCGCCCCTTTATTGGTTTGGCACATTAATGGAAACTTTCACAAGGTTTGAATTCGGCACTTCACTTGCCCAATTACCAGGGCAAGTAGCTTGGAGCTTATGGAAGCCTCTGCGACAAAGTGTCTTTTCTCTTAGCTTTCTGTCACCATTGAGCATTGTTTTTTGAAACCTCGTTTCATTTCAGCAGACAAAACTCAAACATTCAAACAAACAACTTACAGCAGTTACTTTCACTTTTCGAAACTCCGTGTATTCGACGCACTTTTTTTTAAGACAAAACGTTTTCCGTTACACATACCAGCACACAATCCTCATTGGTGGGACTGCGGATGCGAGTGGCTGCGGGGGATCCAGCTCCCCCCAGTCATACCTAAAATCGCCCTGCTTTTGGTTTTTACTTTGTTTAGCTCCCCCCAAAAACATTTTAGCTCCTCAGTCTGTTATATGCTCCACAGCCCTTGGTGGTGTCTATGAGAGATTGATTTGACTAACAAAAACATAATTGACAAAAGTTCGTCATTGATAACTCTATCTGAGTTAAACAACCTAATGAAGGAAAATTAGGCGGTTTTGAAAGATCATCCTTTTACCTGTGTTAATGGGATCATCTCTCATCAGATCCCATTAAACTAAGCTCTAAACTTGAAAAATTTGATTTGTACCTTTTTAGCAAATCTTTCATTGTCACATGATCGGTGACGTCATTTTTGGTATAATTTCAGTGTTTAAATGGTTATAACTCGATGGTTGTTTGTCAATGACATTAAAACTTACCATCAAATGAAAGGTCTCGAAAAGA